AAAATATAACAAATACCTTTTATACAATTTCCACAACCTTAAATGCAATCGTAAGTATTCGAAAAACATCCATCAAAAGGATCAATATTTTAATCAAAGCATCCATCATCAAATTATCTTTTTCTTTAAAATAATTAAAAATCTCTCATTCCAATATATGTATTTATGCCATTGTTAATTTTATTTTAGTCTACTTTTATTTTTATACTTAATTATGTTTTAAGATGTTGATATTACAATAGATTTATTTCCTCTATAGATATTCGATTACAAAAATCAACAATATCAAATTTTAGTTATTTATAAACATAATTTATTGTATTTACTAAAACGTCATCAATATAGATATATATTTATGTTGAGTTTGAATTTAAAAATTAACAATTTTAGTTAAAAGCTTATTGCATAATGTTAATCTAAGTCAAAAACCTTGACCAAATGATCACCACTAGTAGCATAAAAATTAATTCCTAAATAATAAAAATATTTCTTTACCAAAGCATTCTTAAATCTAAGTAACTGCAATTCCTTGAGATTACCATCCTTCTTCAGTGCTAATAACATTAAAGTGTTATGAATTAAATGATTACAATAACATTTCTTAATTCAAACATCCATTACTATTACATGAATCACATGCTATAGAACATTCTTGAATTGATATTTAAAATTATGTTATGCCCCAATTTCCTTTTTAAGCAATCATTGCTATTATAACAGATGAACTTGAATGCTAAATTGTTATAGAAATAGGGAAAAGCGCATAATTTTGGCTTTGTGTGTTGCAAGAAATATTTGAGTATCCCCAATTGTCATAAATTTTTTGATGCTCAATTCTACCATCGATATAAACAATAAATTCAGGATAAACAGAATGCATTTCCCTAAAAAGTTTAATGATATATTATCACATTAAAAATGTTAATTTTAAAGTTAATTCGTAGTGTGGTTAAAGCTCTAAAGTTCTGAAAATCAAATGATGATATTCATATGTCGAACATTCATTTATCAACAAGACTTTGTATGCATTACAATCTGCCTTGAAGTAACGATTACCACAATTTGGATTCAAATATGCAATCCATGCTTAATATATATTATATTAATTTACTATCCTTAAAATCACTAATTAGATCTTCATAAATTGGCTTTGATTGTGCATAAGCCAATATTTGGCAAAGGATCAGGAAATAGCTGATCTTATTTAATTGAATGGCTTAAGATGTCAATATATGGGTATATATTTTTTCTAACATTCTTTTCAGGTTGTAATTAATTGAATAAAGATAATAATTAAATCCTAATTTTTAATTTATAAACCATTAAAGTATCTTAAGAATTCTTAAAAAAACTTATTTATTTTTATTCGATTCGTTAATAAGATTATGTGTTGGTTTTATATATTTTAATCGCTAAATTATTTATCATGAAAATTAAAGGTTATTTTGAAGTTTTAAAAGAAAAAAGAAATAAAAG